GCCTCAAATGGTCGAGTGCTAGCCTTGAGCAAAAAGAAGCTCAGGGACAGGACCCAGGCCCTGAGTTCAAGCCTCAGACTAGGAAAAAAAAAAAAAAAAGTTCTCACTCTAAATCCTTTTAATTTCTTGGAAAACTTACAAACTCTTTGTTCAGAATAGCATTCTGCCATTACTGACTTGGTAAGAAGATATCCTGATGATTGGGCTATTAATTAGTCCAGGGCACGCTGATTCTAATGGTACTGACATCCAGCTTGGAGAGGTGTTCTTGGAATTCCTTTGGGACCAGGGAAGTACTCAGTGTCAGCTGTTAGGTGTGAAAGAAATGCAAGATGCTACTCCTGCAGTAGGAATGAGGTCATAGCTCTTAACAGTGCTCATCTACCTTTGCAAAGTGATGAGTCTTACCTGCTAGCAGGAGGGTAGTGACTGTAATATGAATGAATTTCAAACTTGGCTATTACAGAAAGATTTAGTGATCTGGATGGAGATCATCTCCCAGTATGTAAAAACTGCACTGCCTTTATGGGTCCTGGGAAAACATAGAAAGCTGTTTTCATTCCTCTCCTGACAAAGGTAGTTTGTCTATTCCTGGTATTGCTAGTCCTTGCCATCTTTAAAAGCTGTGTCTGGAAAAAGAAAGCTCATCAGAGGAGCGGGTTGTGTTCTGCCCCACCGCTTCTATTCTCTGGGCCAGACTAAACACGAATATGCCTTTATGACGAAGCTGCGATACAATAGAAGTTGAGAATTTGGGAGTTTCATTCCTTGAAAACAAATATAGATCTGTTCTTAATTGAACGTTGTATGAGAAATTTTTAGTTTTCTCAGTGGCACAGGATGCAGACATGCTCTTTTTCCACCTATCCATGTCACAAAGATAGAGCTCTTGGCCTGTGCTGGAGAAGCAGGATTATACAGGGTGCCAGGGAAGAGCTCCCTGGAGACATGATGTGTAGATCATACATCTTGCTCTCCATGGCTCCATTCCATAGAGTACTTTAGCAGCCCTGTCATAGACCCTGTGTCCTAGAATAAAGGTGCATGCATTAACCCCAACTCATTTGCAAAGTTATTTCATGCAGTTTTGAACAAGTATGGTCAAAAAATAAAGAATTTAAAAGGAATTTCAGAAACAAAGATTTTAAGTTTCTGTGAGCATACACTGCTCAGTTGATGCCGAGGAGCTTAGTCTTTTGCAATCATCACTTGTGTTTAAATGGCTATGTGATCTGATGAGTGTTTCCCTATCCTTAATTTTGTGAAAATATGCCTCTCCCAAACAAATGATGCCCCAAAGGCATCATTAGTGTGCTTAATTTAAGTGATAAAGTGAAAATTTTAGATTCACTGAAAGGCAGCATGTCTTTAGTGGAAGTTGGCTGACATTATGGGAAAAAATGAATCAAACATCCACAGTAGTCAACATACAGAGCATGAAATATGACTTCATTTTAGGGAACACTATTAATGGGTACAACACTAACTTTTATGACAGTAATGTAGCCTACTTTATACAGTTTCAAGTTATGGATGCTTAGACCAACTGTACACATGGTAAAAGTAAACTTGAGTAATTTTAGAGTATTGAACTTTTATGTATTCTGAGCATTCCTCAGTGGTGATTCCTTGTGATGTGATATAGATCATAAACGAAGAATTTGCTGTACTCCTTTGCAAAGAGCAGCAAATGTGCCCCCACTTCCCCAGAGTTGTTCCCCTAGATTCTTTTTCGAGATGTACCTGCAGTTACTATCCACCTTCTATCAGTCAGAGGGAGCTGTTGCTGAACACAGCCTACTTAGGGTCATTTCTGCAGCAGTATAAGAACAAAAACCAAAGTGACTATACATGGGAAGGAGACCCAAAGAAGAATGACCACTGTTGACAGATCCCTCACACTTGGTAGCTTGGATGGCACCATTTTTTAACTCAGTCGTTAACTGCCTACTGTGAACTGGGTATTTTTATTCTCTTTTGTGAAGAATTAGTAAAACAAGAAAAGTTACTTGGTTTCAGTTTTTATGGTTCGTTTTAAGGGGGACAGAGTCTTCATAGCTCATTGTCAGTTTGAATTCCTGGGCTCGAGGTCCTCCCCTCTCAGTCTGCCTGGGAGCTGGGGTTCCACCACACTCAGCTCTCAGGTTATAGCTCCTGTTACAGTGCACCTTCCTTGTTGCCTTTTAATGTGTCAGAAATTGATCTAACAACAATTATAGCTTAAGTGCAAAAAAAACTCTTTGAAGAATTTCTAAAATTAATGCCTGAAGGCAAGTAAGCATCTGATAATATGCTCTTTAGGAATAAGATAGAACATAAATTAGATGCTTTTAAAAAAAGATGGGGGGGGTGGGGAGGACTGGCTGGGAGGGCAGGGGAGGAGGATGGGAAGGGATGGGAAGGGGAAACAAAGGAGGAGGCTACAATGCTTGATAAGAAATGTACTCATTATCTTGCCCATGTAATTGTAACCCCTCTGTACAGTATTTTTACAAGAAAAAAAAAGATATTAAGACTTAACTTTAAAGAATTCTACTGCCACATGTATATATTATTGCCTATGTTTTCTAGTTTTGTTAGCCTCAGCCATAAGTCTTAGTCTTAAGATCTCTGCTACTAGTGGCCGGATGGGAGTGTGGGGGCTACTTTAGACACCAGAAAGAAAGCAGAAATGTAGTTTAGTACTTCACAGCTTTTGCCTCGAGAGCCTTGCCTTTCTGTCTTACTGCTCAAGCCCTGGGCTCTTTTCCTTCTACTGTATGAGATCCTCTACATCGCAGGAACAGCCACGGGCTCTGTAGTGCTCTTACATGAACTTGTCTGTTCAGAGGACAGACCCATTTATTTTCCTTCTCATTTTTGGAAGAGGATAAGGTGCCCCAGCAGACCTACAGAAAACTCAGCCTGCCTCCCCTTACAGGAGAAGTGGAGAACACTGGAGGGGAAGGGGCAGAGGATCACTGAGCTTGCCTAGCTTTCTGTAGGCTGCTCCTTCCAGTTGACCATAGCAAAACTAGGAGAGCCTATTGAATGGCTTCTAGCCATTGGTGTCCATCTCAGCTTCTGTTCTATTGGTTTGCAAATGCCAAAATGTGCCAGGGATACACCTTGACAATGATCCCTAGTCAGTGCCCCTCAGCAGGATCCTGAATGGTAATAGAGTACTCATGAAGGAAAGTAGTCTATTTGCTATTTCTTTTCTTTCTCTTCTCTTTCTTTCTTTCATTTGTTCATTCTTTTTTCTTTATGCCAGTACTCAAAGCTTTGAACTCAAAACTTTGCATTCTTGTTTGCTTTAACTGTTCAAGGTTGGTACCTTACCACTTGAGCCACCCTCTGCTTCTGGCTTTTTGCTGGTTAGTTGGAGATAAGTCTTACTTACTTTAATGACTGGGCTAGCTTTGAACCAAGATCTGAGGATCCTGGCATCCTGAGTAGCTAGGATTATAGCTGGTGAGCCACCATACTTGGTGTTTGCTTTTCTAAATGGGATCAAGGAATTTGGAAATACCTTAATTTTGGTTAGCCTTTCAGAATAAGTGAGAGAATATGATTTTTAGTTCTTGTTCATTCTGTTCTTGCCAACGTTGTAGAGTAGCAACTAGATGTAAAGAAATCCTGTTGTTTCTGAACCAAAAGCATTTCAAATTAGTTGAGTTGAATGACAGATCTCCTGGAATGGCCCAGTGGTTCAGTGGGTGATAGAGGCCCAAGCACACCAGAAATATAGCCAGTCAGTTAGCATTGCACATCAACCAGCAGTTTGAGTGTGTGTGTGTGTGTGTGTGTGTGTGTGTGTATTTTATTCCCCTCATTGTAGGTCTGAGTGAAGGAGAAGTTAGAACTGTGGTCACTAGGTTGAGCAAGGACCCACACACTGACCCTCTACTCTAGCATCTTTCTCGCCACTTCCTTGTGTGTGTAGGGTGGGAAACCCCTAAACCTTTCTATTTTATGTTATTTTATTTTTGCTGGTCTTGGGACTTGAACTCTGGGCCTGGGTGCTGTCCCTAGGCTGCTTTTGCACAACACTGGCACTTTACTAGAGCCACAGCACCACTTTCAGCTTTTTTGGTGATTAATTAGAGATAAGAATCTCATAAACTTTCTGCCTGGGCTGGATTCAAATCACAGTCCTCAGATCTCAGCCTCCTGAGGAGCCAGGATTACAGACATAAGCCGCTGATGACAGGCTACCTCTTATTGCCGATAGTACACAGGAAAGCCTTGTCTAATAGTGTAGGTCCCTAGCGATTTCCCAGTCCACTTTATAGTGTGGTACTTCCTTCTCCCACAGTAACCATACCCAGTGAGGCTTTTGCTTCTGTCCCTGAAGCTACTACTCAAAGGATTTGGAGATAAAAGGGAGAAAATTGGAGCAAACCAACATGTGGTCAAATGTGTGGCAGAGCCCAGAGTCCCCCTGCTAAATTCTGTTATTGCAACCTGAAACTGATTGGGAATGAGGCTTAATATCAGTTATGAGGCATTTACTAATTTTTTTTCCAACAGTTAAATGACTTTTCTGTACAATATTGCTTCATTCAGGGCAACTTATCTTTTTACCTGGAACGAACTTATTTCCATTAGAATTGGAACACTAGCTCCATATTTTGCATTTAAAATGTTTCATGTGATTAAACGCTGAAAGAAACACTATTACTTCTGTTTCTTAGGAGTGTGCTCTTCCAACTGATTCTTCTTTTGTGCCCAGAACAATGCCTTTAATTTGGAAACAAGTAAGGGAGCTCTCTGATTACCAGGCACACTGTTAACAGAAACTGGCAGCCAAGTACTGGTAACTGGGCTCAGGAGAAGAACAGCCAGACATTGTTTCTCCAGCAAATGCTCCTCACAGAGTAGCTACTTACTAGCGTACACTGTGACCTGTACATTGACATCTACCATTTTAATAACCCTTGCTTAGTTCCTCTTTTCCCACCCTCTTCTGTTTTCGTATTTTATCTGTCTTAATTGAGTTTTCTCTTCTTCCTTTACAGAGCTATTAAGAATGGGAAGGGATTGCACAGCAAGAAGGAAGTGCCCATCCACCGTGTTGCAGACATCTCTGGGGTAAGTACTGTCCCTAAATCCAGCAGTGGGGCTCTGAGGCTCCCGGAGCATGTGTGAATACTCACAAAAGACCTCAGCCTCTGTGTTTTCTGTAGCTTGCTGTTCTTCAGGCCCTGAATTTGAATTTTTCCAGAGTATCTTCTTAGGCATTTGTGGGGATTCTCTTTCATATTATGCAAAGGTGTTTTAAATTCTTGTTACAAACCCATGTTTTACAAAATACTAGAATGAATGTTCTCTTATTTTTTTCTATACTATGAACTTTAGAAGAGACTCCTTCCCGGTTGTATAGAACTCTTTAAAATCCCTGTTTAATTCTCACCATGAATGGATTGTCTTCATGGTAAAGATCAACTGTAGGTTTTAGAATAAGTCTAAGAATTAATTGTGATTTCCTAATGACTCTGGTTGCTTGCAAAAAGGAGAGAATGAAGAAATGTATGAATATCTTTTGAGATAATAGAAATTGATTATAACAAAGCATTATTGACATAAATGCTTCTAAGCACCCAAATGAACATTCTGCAATAAACCTTATCCTTCCACATTGAAGATCAGTTTGAATGAATAGGTCTCTGTTGGTTGAGTGGATATAGTCTTCAGCATTTAGTGAGTGCCTACTACATGCTAGGAACTGCACTAAGAATATAATCGTGACCCCACTAAAAGGACAGTGACAAGTACCAGTATTGATTTCAGTCTGATGGCTGGGGAATATACCTATGATGTCTATCTTTTCATTTCCCATCACTACCTATGATGAAGATTAGATTGTGCCTGGGCATAGAGGGCAATATCATCTGGAGAGCTAAAGGAAAAGGGGCTAGGAAATCTTTGCCTGTACAAACAGGGTATTTGCCTTGGCCATGGAGAAGAAAATGCTAGTAGAGACAAATGCTGCTAGAGCTTAGCCTGACCTAGAGCAGTGATGAATTAGAGGGTAATGGCTTCTCATTAATGTTGTGTTGCCAGGCTTGGCCGACTCTTTGTAGTTCCCGGTGCTCTGTTACTGCAAATGTGTCTGGCCGTTCCTCCTTGCTCAAGTATCTTGATCCTCTGTTTATCTCAGGCAATAGGATCTAGTGAGCTTTTCTTTCTCTATAGCCAGTTAGTGCTGATGATGATTAAACAAGACCACCTATGTCACATGAAATGGATTTCCTCAGTCAAGAAGTCAAGGTCTCTATTAAGCGGGTGTGATGTATTGATATGCTTTTATTGTGGCTTAGAATCCTGAGAAGTCTAGAAGCTTATTGCTAATGGTCTTTGAGCCACAGGTGACTGTAGAGTGTCTGCTGAGACTCATTGTTAACAACTGTGACATGCCCAGTGCAATGCTATCTGGCCCATTTTCTTTCTGACTTACCCTGCTGAGTTATTCTTATACATATATTACTAATTTCTATAGGTACATGCTATGGTGTTCTCGACAGTATTTTCTTTAACATTGTTTTTTTGCTAGAGATATTAGAGCAGTCATAAGACAATTAGGGGCTGCTTAGCTTCAGGGGAAAAAAATGTTACAAGTCTGTATTTTACAAAGTTCAGTTGGGGCTTATATTCAAAGACCATCTCCCCATTAAAAAGCGCATAGAGAATCCACACTTTTGGACTTTCTCAGAGCTGAATTAAACCTTGGGATAGTATGTCAATTCAAAATAAAAATATATTTTAGGGGGGGAGGGACAGTCAAATAGAGAGAAGAAGGGTGACCAGTGTACTCATGACCTTCAGTGTTCATATGTGAAAATGGAACCAGGTAACCTTGAGGGCATGAGTGGGGTTGGGAGGGATTGGGGAAGAATGATGGAAGGGGAGCATTAATCAAGATTAATCAAAGTGGCACTGTACTGATAAACTCACATGTTGAAATTCCTCTCTACAACTCCTTGAAAATAATTTTTATAAGAAAAAAATAATAAAGATATATTTAAAATAAATTAAAACTATATCACTCTTCCCTGTGCTTCCGATGGAAACAGTTTGGGGGATAGGTTGTTTTCTTTTGGTTCATCAGGTTCATGTTCTTGCTCTGATTTTGTACCTGTGGGGAGAAGAAGACCTAGAAAAGAATGTTAGGTAGAGGTGGGTCTGTCTGAATGTCTTGCCAGGACCTCTGAGTTCAGGATCCTCAAGCTCTTTATTGCTGCCTTTGCATCTTAGGCCCCCTCTGCCTTTCTGGTCTTTGTGCTTTTTTAACCCTTTGTTTTTGTGTTTGATAGCAATGGATCTTGTGAACTTGTCTTCATTTTTTCATTATTATTCTTCCTACCTCACCAGCTCTCCCTTACACTGTGGCTCAATATCATACCTATTTTTAATCTCGTCTATCTGGTTATTAGAGAATTGGTTTGCTCTTAAGTTATTTAAAAATAAATGCCAGTTAAATTTTGCTCAGTTACCACATAAATAAGAGAGGAAAGCTTGGGCAAGTAGAAGACTGGAAGTGAAAAAGCTGTTCAGTTTAAATAGATGTCAGGTATGACCTTGTCTGCCTGAATCACAAATTATTCAGCTAAGATTGCAATTTTTTTGTGCCCTCTGTAATAGAGTAAGTTTGTCTTTCTCCCCCTTTTCACCTTCCCGTCTCTCCATCACAGTGTTAAGTATGAGTGTATATTGGGTGCCCTTGTGCTGTTTAAGTGAGATGTATGGCTTTTCCGCTCCCTGGAGCATGCTGGCAATTTTGCTGTCTGAGGGACAGGTAGGCATGCAGGGTCATATGGGCAAACAGCATATAGCCTGATGGAGAATAAACACCAGGAATGATGGCAATGTAGTATACACTTATATAATGGCTTCATAAAACTTTCTTAATCTCTTTTAAATCTCTAGCTGTGCTCTCCCACTGCCCCAGATTGATTCCCCCTCTTAGCTGCAGGTCATGATAAATGGAAGTTTCTGTTGAGATGACAATGTATGCACTATGCTGCCAAAATGAATTTACTATGAACTGTTATTGGAACACAGTACCTCACTCCACCCTCCTTCCCACCCCATGCCTTTACTTGGAGAAAAAGAGGACATATATAAGTACACACTTTGTCTCCTAAACACACTAAAAAACATGCAGTATGAAGGAAGTTATATCGTGATGGTGAGACAAAGAATGAACCTGCGCTTCTGTCCTTGTGTTAACTGCCTCTGTCTTTAAGAGTTCAGTCTGCACTCATTCTTCTTTGCTTCTCCTGTATTTACAAACTTATTTCAGCATGAGGGTCAGGGTGTATTAGAATGCTTTTGCTCGCAATGATAAGAACCTACTTGGCTACCTGGGAAAAAGTAGGGAATAAGTAATCCAGGCATAGGAGAGATTGACTGATTGCTTACAAGGTGAGCACCACTGACCACTGAGGTGATCCCATAAGCAAGCCTTTGTTTACTAATCCTGATCATGTTTGAAATTAGGTTGAGTCTTACGTAAGATATCTGTATATACACCAGTTGGATGAATGCCTTCTTTGTCTAAGACTTTAGAACAACATGGCCCTCTGATACTATCATACTTAATTTTAGGTTAACTACTAAGAAAAGTATTTATGCCCAGGCCAGTAATTTAGGTCCTGAAGAAGTGGCTAGTTTCATCATTTTCTCATTGTTCTAGGTATGCAAACTAGGGTCTTACAAATCCCAGCCATTGCTATCCTTTCTGTAGTAATCTGCCCATGAGTTTGACTGACTTGGTTCTAGATCTGGTTTGACTGGAAGGACTGTACTCTGGTGACTGCTTCACTTCACACATCCATGTTTCCATTATATAGAACATTGGTTTGTTTTTCCCTGATGCTGTCTCAGTATAGAAAAAGGTTGGGCTTTGTGTATCTGTGGCATGTAAGGCTGTTCTTTATCTTAGGTTTATTATGTTTTTTTGCTATAGCCTGCTCTGTAATAATTACAATCTCCTGCAGATACAGAGTATAAAACAGGAAATAAAATGAGGCTGGTGCATGGCTAACTGTTGTTCTGGTAGATCAGAAAAATTAGTTCTGGTTCTGAAATGAGAGAAAGAGAGCTCTCCACTCTTCAAGGCAGCCAACACTATGAATGTACATTACTTCCTGCCTCCATTCTGCTTCCTCTTCCATATGTGCATGAGGAGGCCTAGTGTGTGTATTTGAGTTCCTCTCTCTTTTTGTCTGTGTTCTTTCTGCACTGGTGCGTAAGCATTTATGATCGCTTGTCTGTTTGACAACATAAGAAAAAGATAGAGCCTATACTACCATCCTCTTCCGTTACATTTCTATAAGCCATAAGGAGAGCTAGATAACCAGAATGGGGAGGGGGTTGTATTTCTCTGAATATTTTCTGTCTTTTCATATTAAGTGGTCCTGACCACTCATCTGTTAATTTCATTCACTATTCTTTACTTGTGGAACATGCTGTACTCAGCTGGACATTTATATCACCTTCTGACTTGGCTACATACTGTTTTTTGACCTCTTCTGCATGATTAATTTTGTTGGAGATGCATAGTATTACTATTAAAAATGTGCCTTGGAGTGTTCCAAGGGCTAGCTCTAGGGCGTCAGACTTTGAGTTGCTTTTATTCATGAAGTAAATCAAGTAATGAAAACTTACTAAGAAGACAGTGCAGCTTTAACTTGCAAATAAAAGCATAGAACTGTTCCTGTAAGATAATAGACAGGAAGTAGGTGGACTCTTCTTTTTCGAGCAGCATTTCCTGACCTTTTCCTTCCACATCTGGTTTTCTGTTGAATTCTTTTTTTTTAATTAATATTATTTTTTTGTGAAAATAGTGTACAGAGAGGTTACAATTACATGGGCAAGATAATGAGTACATTTCTTATCAAGCATTGTAGCCTCCTCCTTTGTTTCCCCATCCCATCCTCCCCCTGCTCCCCCACCCAATCCTCACCCTCCCCCCACCAAAATTAAAAAGTTCATTTTTCGACATAACGACTTGTACGTCTCATTGTTGCAGTGGGTCCACCTGTATCCCTATTTAAACGATTTGTTGAATTCTTACACCTGAAGAACAC